GCTGAGAACTAATATCTCTCAGCTCTATTCTATGAAGTCTCTCATCTTCCAGTAAACTTACTTAGCCTTGTTCTTATTGAAGAGGCAAGAATCTAAAAGCAAATCTGTTCTGTCATGAACAAAAGCAAGCAGAAGTATGCAAACCCTCTGCAGGCTTAGGTTCCAAATTATTAACTTACACCACACATACTTTTTGTCAAAGCAAGTCATAAGGCCAGCTAAGAGTCAGAGTGAGTGAAAACCAGAAACTTTCATAGAAGGGAAAATAAAAACAGGGAGACTGCTATTTGGGTCATCAATGCAATCTATTTACTATGATATGAATTTGGCCAAAATTATTCATATCTCTTAACAAAGAAAATACATCTACCCCTCCATAAATGTCTAAAAGTCTCATCCAATTACAACACTAGGCTGCAAGAATAAGACATTATGATATACATCAGATCTGGATGCAGTTCCTTGAATGGGGCTCCTTTTGAGCCAGAGAACTATGAATTAAAAAGGCAAGTTATCTTCCTCCTGAACATTCAACATATAATAGTGTAAAGAATAGCCACAGGATCTTCATCATGCCCAACCCCATTCTAAAAGTGAGAGGGAATAAAAGAAGACACAAAGCATCACGAATTCATACCAATTCAGCAAATGCATTGGTCGAATATTGGCTGCCAACCCACCCACCCTTACCTACACATTCTAAGAGTGGGGAATGTCTCTGGGCACTTCTCCCTAAGACTTTGTCTCTGGTATCTTCTTTACTTGGCACTCTCTTTTCGGTCCTTGGCTCTATTTTCTCAAGTGTCCTTTCTTTTTTTTAAATCACTCTCTATGGAGTCTTCTGAATAAATGATCTACGGTGACAGTGAAAACTGAACAGCTTTATACTATTTCATAGAAATTTGGAATCCCAGAGGACCTCTAAATGTTTGAATTATCTTGCCCGTTTTTAATCAAAAATAGGCTCTTTTTTAGCAATTCCACTCTCTTAAAATCTTTTTGAGCCTTCTGTTAATCTCATTCAATTCCATTTGGCAAAACCTTAATCACTAAGTGTTTTGAAACATGCCACAGAAACTTGAAACATGTAATATTGCTATGGAACAATACCCCTAAAATAAATTCCTAAATAACTAAATTTCTTTCTTTCTTTCTTTCTTTCTTTCTTTCTTTCTTTCTTTCTTTCTTTCTTTCTTTCTTTCTTTCTTTCTTTCTTCTTTCTTTCTTTCTCTCTTTCTTTTTTTTTTTTTGCCACAAGGGTCTAGATCATCCTTGTCCAATCCCTGGCCCATGGGCCACATGAGGTCCAGGACAGCTCTGAATGTGGCCCAACACAAAGTCTTAAACTTTCTTAAGATGTTATGAGATTTTTTTTTTTTTTTGGCAATTTTTTAAAACCTCATCAACTGCTGTTAGTGTTAGTGTATTTTATGTGTGGCCCAAGACAATTCTTTTTGCAATGTGGCCAGGGAAGCCAAAAGGTTGGATACCTGGGTCTCTAGAAGGTATCAACTTAAGTTTTTTCTGGTATCTTAACAAAGGTTATTAAATATCATTTTTATGATAGGCAGGAATAATATTATCTACCTGTAAGATGGGGATCAACTCTTATCTACTTATTTGGATGATTGTATGGACTGAACTGTTTCCCCTTCACCAAAATTCCTATGCTGAAGGCCCATACCCCAATGTGTCTGTGTTGGGAAATGGGGCTTTTGAAGAGGTAATTAATGAGTTCATATGGTGGGTACCAAACATGACTGGTGTGCTTATTAGAAGAGGGAAGAAAATACATGTGAAAGACTATGTAAAGACACAATGCTAAGATCATCTATAAGTGAGAGAGAGAGGCCTTCGGGGAAACAGAATCTGCCAACATCTTAATTTTGAATATCTACCCTCCAGAACTCTGAGGAAATAGGTTTATGTTATTTAAGTCTCCTAGTGTGTGATATTTTGTTGTGGCAGCTCTAGCAAACGAATACAAATGAGTATAAGAATCAAGATGTGGACTTCCAGGTCCAAAATGGTAGCACAGAAGCAAGCTGGCTTTACCCACCCAAAAGAAAACCACAAACACACCTATAGGACTGAGATTTCCACCAGCAACCACTCTCAACTGAAATACGAGATAAGAGAGTTCCTGGGGCTCCAAAGAAGTGAAAGTAACCTCCAAATAGATGATAAGAAAATTGGTCTACCACATCTGCAAATTTCTTTTCTTCCTCAGCCTGCTGGACATCAATTATGTGGAAAATCTCCCCCTTAAATTTTGGTCTCTACACTGGAAAAAGTGATATTAAGGTGATCAACCAACTTCACCACCACCTTGGATATCCTGGCAGGAAACCTGTCCTTGCCTTTCCCCTGGGCAACATTGTGACTACCCGAAGGAAGATGTTTCCCTGGGGACAGGCAGAGTCAAAAGTGAGGAGCAAGACTAGCATGCTGGTCTTGACAAGTTTGCTCTGTAATTTGGCCAAAGTATGTGTAAATCAGAGTGGCAGTTCAGCAGCCCCACAGTGTAAGAGTTATGCTCCACAGGTCCCCTGGGGTACAAAGCCCTAGACAGTCTCCCTGCACTGCTGGAATAATCTCTTTGAGACCACTCCCATTTAGGACAAGTAGCACTCTGATCACTTATAGATCTGAGGTGAACTTGGGGTAAAGGCACAGTCTAGAGCCAAAAAAGAGGCAGTGACCTAGCGGCAAAGATTTGTTAAGCAAATATACCAAATGAAAGGACAAAACAAGGCAGATAAAACTGGAATACATAACTTCAATCCCTCAAAGCAAAGACATAGACATATACCCAAAACAAACAACAGCAAACAGGGAATCATGAGATTCGTAAAATGTCAAAGCAAAAATCCAGTGACTGGCGCTAATGAGATGGTAATTTTTGAGCTCTCCCTGACCAAGAATTAGAGATAGTAGTATTAAGGAAACAAAATTATCTCCTAAATAACCCAGAGAAGCAATTCAGAAATCTATTATAAAAAATTAGCAAAGGAATTGAAATCAAAGAAAGAAGAAAATAAATTCAAACATAAATCTTGAAACTGATAACTATATTTGCTGAACTGAATAACTCATTTGAGGTGTTCAAAAGTAGAACAGGCCAAGCAGAGAAAAAATATCAATAACCTTGAAAACATGGTATTTAGGAATACATAGTCAGAAGAGAAAAAAAGAACAAGGAATGAAAGAAATAAGGAATACCTCCAAGATGCAGAAAATTAAACAAAAAAGATCAGATCCAAGAATTATTGGTGTTCAAAAGACAACTAAACAAGAGCAATGGGTACAAATCTTATTCAAGGAAATAATAACAGAAAAGTTTCCAAAATTTCAGAAAGATATAAATATCTGGGTACAGGAAGGTCTGAGAAAAGCAAACAGATTCAACCCAAATAAGACTACCTTAAGGTGTATAATATTAAGCTCTCAAAACTCTAAAGGATCTTAAAAACAGAAAGAGAGAAGCAAAATAACATGTAAAAGAGCTCTAATTCATCTGGCAATAGAGTTCTCAAAGGAAATTATATAGGGCACAAGGAGGTATCACAACATTTTCAAAGTGCTCAGAATAAAAAACTGCCATTTAACAATATTGTATCAAGAAAAAAAAATCTTTAAATATGAAGGAGAGATAGTCTTTTCAAGACAACAAAAGATAAAAAAATTCACCGTCACCAGAATCATCTTACAAGAAATGCTAAAAGGAGTTCTTCAATCTGAAAAAGAAAAATCACTAATATGCAAAAACTTTTCAAAGTATAAAACCCAGTGGTAAAGCTAAGCACATGAATAAAGTCAGAATACCACATTAGTGTAATGGTGGTGTGCAATTAATTCATGACTTTACTATGAAGCCCAAAAGAAAAATATATGTAAAACAATAATAGCTACAGCAACCTGTTAACAGATGGGTAATATAAAAAATGTAAAATGAGACAAGTCAAAGTCAAAATATGGAAAAGATGAAGTGTAGAAAGCTTTTGTATTTTTTTGCTTTTTTTAAAATTCTTGTATTTATGACCTAAGTTAATAGATCTAAATATAGAGATAGACAGGAATACAATAATAGTAGAGAACTTTAACACCCCCCTCTCAGTAATGGACAGATCATGCAGACAGAACAAAAAACATCAGAGTTAAACTACCTGCTAAATCTAATAGGCCTAGTTGACATTTACAGAACGTTTAACCCAACTTCTGCAGACTACACATTCTTTTTATCAGCACATGATATATTCTCCAGAATAGATCATATGTTAGCCAAAAAGAAGCCTCAGCAAATATGTAAAACTAAAAATCATATCAAGTATCTTCAGACAGCAACAGAATACTAGAAATCAATAACAAGAAGAACTGCAGAAAACACACAAACAGAAATTAAACAACCTGATCCTGAATGACCAATGGGTCCATGAAGTAATTAAGAAGGAAATTTAAAAATTTATTTAAACAAATGAAAATGAGAATATAGCACACTGGACTCTAGGGGATACAGCAGAGCAATACTAAGAGAGATATTTACAGCAATAAGTGCCTATAGCAAAAAGTAGAAAGACATCAAATAGACAACTTAATAATAAACTTCATGGAACAAGAAAAGCAAGAAAACTAAACCCTAAATTGGAAGGAATTAAATAAAAATCAGAGCAGAAATAAATAAAATTAAGATTTAAAAATACAGAAGATCAACGAAAATAAAATAAGTTTTTGAAAAGATAAAGAAAATTTAAAAAATTTTTAGACTAAGAAAATGAGAGATAAGCCACCAATAAATAAAATCAAAATTGAAAAAAGAGACATAAAACTTCAGAAATAGAATTATTAGAGACTGCTGTGAATAGCAAAATGCTAACAAACTGGAAAACCTGAAAGAAAGAAAAAAATTGTGGTCACACACCCTAAAGATTGAATTATAAAAAATCTGAAAACTTCAACAAGCCAATGATATAAAGCCATAATAAAAAGATCAAAGTCATAATAAAAAGTATTCCATCAAAGAAAAGCCTAGGATCTGATGGCTTTACTGCTGTATCATACCAAACATTTAAAGAACAGATACCAATCCTACACAAAATATTCAAAAAAATTGAGGAGGAAATACTTCCAAATTCATTCTATGAGGCCAGAATTATCCTCATGGAAAACCACACAGGGACACAACAAAAAAGAAAACTAACAAGTTAATATTATTGATGAACATACATGAAAAACCCTCAACAAAATACTGGCAAAAAAAACTCTCAGCAATACATTAAAGATGTCATGTACCACAATGAAGCGGGATTTATCCCAGGGTGAATGGTTCAACACTTTCAAAAATTAACCATTACACATCACATTAACATAATGAAGAGCAAAAACCATATAATTGTTAGAATAATAGTGAAAAAGTGTTCAATATAACTCAACTTCCTTTTATTATAAAAATTCTTATCAAAATGGGTATAAATGAAAATCCAAAGCACAATGAGATATTATCTCACCCCATTTTAAATAGCTCATATCAAAAAGGCAAATAATATGGAGTAAAGAAGCCTTATGCACACACTGTGGGTGGGAATGCCAATTAGTACAGTCACGCTGGAGAAGAGTATGGAGTTTTGTCAAAAAACTAAATATAGAATTACCATAATATGCAGAAATTCCATAACTGAGTATATATCCAAAAAACAAAAAATAAAATCAATGTGTTAAAGAGACATCTACACTCCCATGTTGATTACAGCACTATTCACGCTAGCCAAGATACGTAATCAACCAAAGTACCCTTCAACAGGTGAATGAATAAAGAAAATGTTGTATATATACAAAATTGAATAGTATTAAGCCATAAAAAAGAACAAAATTCTGTCACTGATGTCAAAATGAATGTAACTGAAGGTCATTATGTTATGGGAAGTAAGCCAAGCACAGAGAGACAAATGTCACATGTTCTCACTCATATGTGAGAGCTAAAAAGTTTAATTTCATGAAGATGGAGAGTGGACTGGTGGCTACCAGAGGCTGGGAACAGTAATAGGAAAGGGAAGGTGAAGGGGGAAAATATATATAAATGTATTTTTTACTACTGAACTGTATACTTAAATTTATAAAGATGTATATTTTACCTCAATGGAAGAATAAAGAATCAAAGAGGTAATGCATATATAGCCACCGTTTCTGACACAGTACATGATATTAGTGTCCCACATAGGATTTTTATACTCATAATGGTGGAAAATAACCAAAAACTAATATTCTACAAGTTTTGTTGAAAAAGCAGCACAAATTACAAGCAAAGGACATGCAAAGATTCAATAATTATGCTCAAGGAGATGCTGAAGTTAGGCTAGATATGAGACTCTAAGATGGTATCTGACACATTTGGGGATGTAGTGTATATGAGCCCCCCCAAACAAGATGAGGGGGCAGAATGTTCCTAAGGCCTTGCACATGTGTGCATAGGATAATTATTTGGGGTTTCTTTTTTCTTTTCAAAGTAAGGTACGTATCCCATGAACACTACTTCTTTATGTTATTGTATCACTTACTGGTGATTTAAAAATTCTTTAAGGTGTTTAGGAAGGCTATGAGTAGTAGTTATAATCTTGGGGATATTCCCAAGTCTTCACGGGTGAAGGGTGTATTCTCACCATGTTACATCTATGAACTCAACTCGGTGTGAAACTCAGGACAAGATCCAGTACCAGTAGGATCCTATCTGAGAGCATCAGAGATTCAGAATAGAGCAAGAACCCAGCCACAGCTGGTAAGAAGAGTCACCACAGGCAAATTCCTCATTAATGATGCTTGTAATCACAACACATTTAGTATGCCAGAATAGCAGACTAGATACATAATGTAAACATGGAGCCAATATCATTGACCTCCCGAGGAAGGAAATGGAGTTGGCATCTCACTGTACGTGGTGAAGCCAGCCTTGTACTAAGCACCTATGAGGCAAATAAGAAAAGCTGCAGTCAAGCTCTTTCCCATGCACTATTTCAGATGTCCCTTTACTATCCCCTCTGCCTAGCCACCTACACCATGTATTTCTCTCAAACCTTAAAAGCTCTAGGTAGACAATGCAATACTCTGAAAAATGCCTGTACTTCTGAAAGTGTGTTAAATCCTTAGCTCTTTCATTTACCAAATGCACCTTAACTTGGGCAATTTAAATATCAAATCTCAATTTCCTCATCTTCAATTTCCCTGTAACATTACTCAGAGAATTAAGTAAATAAATGTTTGGTTTCCTTTTTTTCTAAGATTTAATAATTTAAAAGGAAATTGTGTTTTAATTGTTACAATATCCAGGTTGTTCTAGGTTTTATTTAACAACTGGACAGAGGTTCAGATTAATGACCCATAACCTTTATAGAATAGATCTTGGTATGTGTCTGAACTATCGTGTGGGCCGTTCCCACATTTCCTCTCTGAGATATGTACCTGCATTGTTCCCTCAAGCCTGTATCCCAAATCACTTTACAGCAAAGATCTTCTATTCCACGTCGTAAAACACTACAACATGCATTTTAATGGGGCATGGTTGCACTCTCCGAGATTAATTTCTGACACTGGCAATAACCGAGGTGTCAATTTCTGTTAACAATCTATGCCTTGGCAGATTTTTGTCAATCCATTAATAATGTGTATAATTGATAGCAACAGAGAAAGGCCACTGCTATTAATTCACTGCTGATTACTGATGATTATTAACGATGATGGTAGTGAGATTTTCCCATCACTCAAATTGTAGTTTTTTCAAAATTAGTTGTAGTAAATAAGGAAAAGAACAAAATATTAAGTTCTAAAAATTGATTCATATTTAAATTAGGCACTCGTTAGTGAGGATTTGCTCTACACTAAGCAACGATGTACTTTGCATTAATTATCTCCTTTCATTATTTACAGTGACAATTTGAGACATGTTTCACTCTCCTATATTTCAGGTACTTGCTATGGATCAAACCATAAATAATATTTATGATTCTAGAAGAGATCTCAGAGACCTTTGAAAAATATAGGGCTACATTTTAAATTATTGTCCAAGGTCATGCAGATTTACTAGAAATAGAGTATTCCTTACCCAGTGGTCTTTAACCAGAAACCTCCATAACTTCTTCCTTGATGGCAAATAGAACTTCACACAATAAAGGCAAATAAGAGATACTTTCTCAGCCTCCCTTGAAGTAAGGCATATTTACATTAACATGTTAGAAGGCTTTTAGAAATTCTCTTGTAGAGAAAACATTGTAATGAAGTTAACCCAAATTTTCTTGCAATTAATAAATTAAGAAACACCATTGTCATATAACACCAATAAGTATCCCAGAAAACTGAGATTCTGCATTTCACTCTTTGAAAAAAACTGTTGTCAATCCATGACATGGTAAGGAATAAAATCACACTAAAGTACAAAAACCAAATACACACCTAGTTAAAAATCAGAATAAGTAAAACCTCTAGAGTTGTCACTGTGATCAATTTTACAAATTGTGAGTCTCAGAACATTTCTGTAAGAATAAAATTATCTTGTTTAAAGAAACGTCAGGGCATCAAATTGCTCTTTAAACTGAATTTGTGTCTGTTTGGGAGGTGGAAGAGAAAAGTCTCTACAAGAATAATTGGGGTTCTACAGTCAGAGAGGTTTGAACTCAAATCCTGGCTATAATGTGAACTGGATGGCCTCAAAAAACGTACAGGACTATTCTGAGCTTCATTTTATTGTTCTTTATTTTTTATTTTTCTCTCTTAAATAAAGCTTTAAGTAGTTCCAATTCATTGAATTATTGAGAAGGTTAAATGAGGGTAAAGCAATCCTTGATACATTCCAAGTATCCATTAAGATATGTCTGCAATCACTCCCTACCAGTGATTGTAACAGAAGCATGAAGATCATAGCGAAGAGTCTGGATACAGTGAAACAGGAAATACAGAGCCTTTTTATCTCCCGCCTAAGGTAATGCCATGAGAAAAACAACAAGAGTGTATTTTATAGAGCTGAAAACCAAATCGTTTATTTAAGGAAAGTAAAGAGGACAAGGAGATGAGTAAGGATTTGACTGGGGAACGGGGACAGTGTAGGCAGAAATAAGAGCTTGGATTACATTTTTAATAGCCTAAAAAATGGAAAGAAATGATTGAGATTGTTATACTGCAGACCTGTTTTCTTCTTTGACAGAGAATTCCTTAAGATTCTAGGATGCAAAGATTGGCAGTCAAACTCATTCAGAGGTACAGATTTTATTCTTTTATAAGAAGCCATCCCACTAATATGCTTATCAAACCAGATATGCATTGTAGGGACTGTTGTGAAATTGTCAGGCTCTCATGGTCTCTAGTAGCTCCATTTGCATGCTAATGAAACCAGAGGCCAGATGCCACTAATTACAACACAGTCACTCTGTCCAACACCCCACAACCAACTGCCAGTGAATGGACCTTGTCATTCCATTATGCAAATGATACTTAGGAAGAACAGGAATAAATTCTAAATAGTGGCAACCAGAGCCATATATTGGCAGGAGGTAAATTAATAAATATATTCAAGAAATGGAAATTAAAACTTATTATTCAACAGTAGATTAATCATGGCTGAATAAATATGGAACAGAACAACTTTTTTTTTTTTTCTAATGCTCTGAGCAATTGAATGAAACTTCCAGTAACTTATTAAGGTATGTATAGTAAATTGTGTTTCCAGAAATCATCAATCAGGTTGATAAAGGGTTAAGCATTCTTAACCCACTCAAGTGCTTTTTTCTGAATGAGATAAACAATAACAAAAAAAATCCTGAAGAGTGTTTTCCTTGAGATATAAAGTTACATTAAATAAAAATAAAAATCGAGGGAAAACCTTGCTTCTGAGCCAATAGCCCACTTATAAAGACTGATTCCAGAAATGCCAGAAATGAAGCTTGATGTTTATTTTCTTGTAAGCATTACTTTATTTTCCTTGTAAGATTGCAATTATCTGTTACCTACATAACCTGCTCTGATCATTCTAAAAGGAAAGATATTGTAAAATAACCAATAAGAATCAAGATGTATGAATATATTTTTTCTGTTTTGTAAACTTCATA